CCAATTCAAGGGGTGAATTGCAATTTTGATGGCTCACTTCCATGTTACATAATGGAGGATATCTCATCATCTACACCACTCACTGCCCTACTTTCAACTGAATGGCTGTATAATCATTTATATATATTACTAGTTTAAGTATACCTGGACAGGCACAACTCACTATAGAGCAAGATCCATAAAGAAAATGAAAGGGAGATACCGTTGAAAATAAGAGGTATATATATACTAAAATATAACTTACCCAATCATAGTCTCACAAAAGAGTGAAGGATAGTGGATGATGATACCCCAATAAGGAAGAAATGGCTACTCCAAATAAAGAATAGAAGATGAATGTATGAGGAGTAGTCCCAGGGCTTGACAGATGAAGTATCTCCAACGGACGACAGTTTAGATATGCAGGGAAAAGATAAAGTGCATAATCTGAGTAAAGACATGAGGAATCAATGATGGGAAACATCATTGGATACATGGAATAAAAGGCCAATTGAACAAAATCCAAACCTAATGGGTCAGGGAGAAAGGAAAAAAAATCACAGAGAAAGCAATGGAGTAAGAGAAGGAAATCATGGGATATGGATTCAATAGAAAAACCTTGAAAAGAATGAAGCAACCCAAAGCATGTATTGGAGCAACAAGGTCATCTGGAACCAATCAAGAAGAAATATAAAATATCCTCTTTGGAATAACTCAACAAGTTACAAATATCATTACTGTATAATAGAGAGTAAACTTATTGAGAGAAATTTGTACAAAGATACGGAAAAAAATTTAAATAAAATGCTTGAAAAGTTTAGCACAAACTAAACGTTAGAACATGAGTACTACCAGACAAGAAGCAATAGTTTGATAGAATTGAACAAATGGAGTCACATGTGTCAAGAGAGTATATTTCACTCTTATTGGTGGAAGGTTGTCGCTTGATGATTTGCATGTGAAAAGCATTGGAATCAGTCAATTCCAGATGTGGGAGATTCAAAGCTTGTGGCATGCATAAAACGTTTTTGCATACAGAGAGCAGCACTAAACGAGAATAGCTATTATCTGAATGGAGGTAATGTACGGTATTGGAATTACATGTTACTTCAACATTGTTAAAAATGGGTTTAATTGTTGTTTTTAATGTTCACTGAATGTTAATAATGGTTATATATATATATATGTGTGTGTGTGTGTGTGTGTAATTGCATGTCAACTGAATATCTATTCCATACAATTTAAAGCGATACCAAAATAATTGTTCTACATTTCTTTGTGGTGTGTATTCCTAAGTGGACTGAGTGGAACTATAATAAAATTAACAAAAGTTTTTCTATTCTCAAAATTAATGTTTTGGATGTTTATATTGAAATAAATATTTCAATATTTTTACTGAGCAATGTATGCCAACTGATAGATTTATAAAAAGAAACAGCTATGCTTGAACACCAACATGAAAAACTTCAACTGGATATTTGCAGACAACTAGTCTGGAAAATAAAATATTGACTATACATTGAAAATCTGATAGAATCATGCTTTTTTATAAAGATTGGTTTTGGCCTTGACATTTCAACTCAGATCTTGGTCTCGAAATGTATCTTAGGTCTTGTTCTTGACACCATCTCTGGTATTTGCATTCTACATTACTATTATTAAAAATTACTGTCAGAAAAGGACTTTAGCACCCAATACCTGGAACTAGTTGATACTATCAGTATTAATTTCTTTGTGTTATTAACAAATATCACTAGTTGAATTTATATACCTGCAGTGATAATGGTTGTATTATTAACAGATTACAATCAAAGTACGAACAGTATGCAGTGCACAGAAATATTTCATGCTTGCAGCGTTAATGGATGGTATTATTAACATACTACTGTTAGGAAAGGACTTTAATACTCAGTGCATGGAAATATACTTCATGTGTTCATTTAGTTACATTATTAATAGTTTACTGTTACAAAATAGATTTAATGCCAGTGCATAGAAATATTTCACCCTCAAAATTCTAATACTGATTTGTCTAGGTTAAATAAAGAAAACATGAGAGACAAGCTAACCAAATCGTTTTTTGAATGGATCAAAACTGATAAAACAATGATGTTGGAAAAGCAATTAAATTGATTAAAAGTTTTATGGAAAAAATAAAGACCCAGGTACAAAACAGGGAAAGCATTAGATGCATATAAATTGTGTATTATACTGTATGTGTGTCTATATATGTATAAACTGTAATTGGTTTTATGTAATGTTAAGTACTATGAGTATAATGCATTTTTTACATTTTGTTTCAATTATTGGTTTGAAGATTAATATTGCTTTTGCTTAAAAGACATTTGCACCATAGTTTGGAAAATATGCTAAGTTTAATATTTGTATACAAAACTTTTTATTGATGTAAATACATCACTCATAATTTTATATTGTATACAGCAGTAGTAAACTTCTATCATTTAGTTAAATAAACAAAGAGATGCTACTTTTAATGTTCAAAGTATACAGAAAACTGATGTTAGGAATAAAAATATTCTACACAAAATTGAAGTTGTGAGACATGAGATATGCTGGTTTTCTTCTTTTTAGACATTCCATTGTTTCCAGTATTTATTGATATCTTTTAGTTTTTGTGTTTTATCACTGTATTAAAAATGCAAAGGAAATATTGTGACTGTGGAGTAATTGATCTTATCTGAACACATTTATACTTTTTTTTATTGTAAAATCTGGCTTGAAGAATTTCTTAACTTTGTTGTTTTATAAGTTATAATAACAAACATGATAGTTCACACTGTAAAACAAAAAGTATACCACAACCAGCTCAAAATGGTATTTTGATAATATCAGCTCAGAAGGGTCAGTAAAAGGTATTATCCAATGAAACATTATACATTTTTCTATCCCTGATTTATTAGAGAGTAATAAGAGCTAATAATGTGAGAAGGTATAGTTTGGAGCTAGTCATGATATGGGTTGTGTTATTTTATATGAATTATCATGTTTTCTGTAATAAATAAAGATTATATTTTCTGCTAATTAGCATAAAAGTATGTGATAAAATTGAAGGTTAAACCTGCATATAGTTACATGATTTTCTGAAAAACTATGGGTTTATGAAACTAATATGTATAAGGCAGCAATGTGTAAGTGGAATAAAAGAAACTAAATTTGGTGTTGAAGCTGAAATCAAAACAAAATGAAAACTTTATTTTCTAAGATAAACAAAAATAGAAAAAAAGGAATTTAAAAAGTGTGCAGGTAGTCATCTGAGTAGTAAGAAAAAGAAAACAAACTGAGAAGATAATTAAGTTTAAACTAAAGATCGTACAGTCAGCACAGGAATTGGAAATGGTACAAAGACAAGACTATTACCACACATCTTGAATCCTTTAGGATCAGACCTTAATTTTCACTAAAAGCACCAAAACTGCATATACGAGGCACATTCTCTCTCTGATGGCCCAATCAGAAAAATGCCTCTAAAATGTACAAATGTCTCTGCTTCAAGTAATAGTTAGAAGGTATTCTCCAAACAAAGGTTGAGAAGGATACAATGCAACTGTCCCATCAAACAATAAATAAGTTCCTTGACTAGTCAAGCTACACAATTAACATTTCTGGTTGAAATTTTGCACAAGATCACAACTTGATTAAGTATGTTCCAAAATTATATCTTATAAAAATTTAAGAATTTTACAGATAAGAAGTACATACTATAGGAGAGCATATCCAATTAACTGTAACATTGATAATTACTTATTGGTGTATGAATATTAAATACAATTATTGTTATTACACTTTATACCAGTGCTTCCCAAATGTTTTTCCTACGTCACCTCAATTTTGATATAAAAATATTTAAGTGTCCCCAGACAGCACCCAAACAACAAAGCAACCAACGTATCCAAAACAAAAGTAGGCCTAGTTATAAGAAACTTCTTGTAACTCCATCAGCTAAAGTCTCAACCCTACAAGGGGCATGATCCACAGTTTGGGAACTGATGCTTTACACCATATCATATCATTTTTATAATATTCACACACATAAGTAACACTATAGAAACTCATCACATTGATAATGTGAAACAAATTCCTAAACATGACCTGGATTTAAAATACAATTAAAAGTTTATTTAAATCTATGAGAAAGACAGGTTTGAAAGTTTAATTTTATAAAATTCCTCTGGCTCTGACAAACTACTATATATACATATATATGAAAGAAGTATTAATTTAAAAAAAATCACTTATTAATAAAACATAAAATATTGTTACGACAGTGGAAGTCACGTGATGCTGGTAACACGTCATGAGATTCTCGAAGGATCTTGACTTTTCGTGGCAACTCTAGTCTGTTCTAGGCGCCCCTTTTTTGTATATAAGCCCAGCAAATAATGCGGAGAGAAAAGATTGCAGATTGAAGACAGATAATTGAGTCAAGTGAGCAGTAGTGATGGTAATATAAAGTGTGTGTTTTGTTATCGAGATTGCAAACATACTGACTGTGGAAATTCTGTGTATTATAAAGTTGTATTGAGAAATAATAAACTAGTTTTAGTTAAGAAAGGACTTGTATCACTGAAGTTTCTCGGAAAAAATTTCTACGGGAAATTGACAAACGAACGGAGATGTAACAATATGTAGCTTTCTTCATAATTTTAATTAATAAACCAGTAAAATAAAAGTTTCATGATTTTTACCCTTAAAAAAAAAGAACCTTTTTAAATTTCTACTCTTACAGTATACCTTGTGGTCTCTAACCTTTCTGTATGAAATAATATCAATTACACACCATATTGGACTACTTGTGTTAAACTTATACTCTTATAGTATACCTTGTGGTCTCTAGCCTTTCTGTATGAAATAATATCAATTACACACCATATTGGACTACTTGTGTTTAATTTATACTCTTATAGTATACCTTGTGATCTTTACCTTCTCTGCATAAAGTAGTATCTATTATACACCGCACTGAACTATATGTATTAGTTAAACAGGGTAAAGGGACTCACCCTTTTTTTATTCCCTTTGAACTTCTTCTGCTTGTTGGTTGGGCTCGGACTTTTGCCCCACCCCAGGACTGACGGCTTTTGTCTTGGGATAGCACTCCAAAGTTGGCAACTAGTTCACATATTTTTGGAGGACTGTTCACTGGTGTTACTTCATCCGAGGAACTGGTGTCATGCTTTATAACTGATGTGCTACCTGCTAAAGATGTACATATGATAACTATAGTCCTACGTGATTGGAAAATCTAAGGAGAAAAGAACAAATAAACTAGAATCATTGTTTATATGGCAAGTGGTCCTATAACCCAATGCAAGGTATTTGTATAGCATACATATAAAAGAAAAGCAAGGACATTAAAATAAGAGAAAGCAATGCTGGAATCTGAGTAGATTATTACAAAATTTAACACAATAACATAACATGACATAACGTTTTGGGACAACATGGACCTATTGGTCCATCCCAGCTGTTCCATCCTCTAAACTATATTTTAAAAAAAGAAGAAGAAAATCTTAAAGCCAGCCTTTATCATTCATATTTATGAAGCTTCCTCTTAAACTCAATTAAATTTACTGTCTCTACAACATCTGTAGTCAACCCATTCCAAAGGCCAACCACCCTGTTAGAAAAATGAAACTGTCTTAGCTGATGATGACTCCTACCTTGCCAACATTTATATTTGTGTCTCCTAGTCCTACTATTCTCACCGTTGAGTATGAAAAAGATGATGCATCGACAATTTCCTTTACAATCTTAAACACCTCAATCAGATCCCTCTAACTCTTCTCTTTCAAGAGAAAATAATAATTTCAGAGATCTTAACCTGTCCTCATATGACATCCCCCTCATCCCAAGTACCATTCTAGTAGCCTTCCTTTGAACCTTTTCCAACAATTCAATGTCCTTCCTAAGGTAAGGAGCCAAAGAGTGAAATCAATACCCCCAAATGTGGCCTAACCAGTGATCTATAAAATGTTTGTTTGTTTTGAATTTCGCGCGCAAAGTTACACGAGGGCTATCTG